TTTCCTGGTTCGCCCTGGAACCGCGCTCGCATCACGTTGCCATGCCGCCTGTCCTGCTTCTCGCCGTGCTCTCTGTCGCGCTCCTCTGGGGGTGGAAGTTGAAGCAGGGATCTTCGGCTTGGCCTGGGGAGCCTTGCTGAGGATAGGAGAAGCCACTGGTGCCATGCGCAAGTCGCTGGTCTTACCTAGAGACGTTTTACGGTCGCACCTGGGACGTTTTGTGGTCGCAGTGCTACATTCTACTGAAGGTCGAGGAGCCCAAAACACGTTTCAGGTGTCGGGCCGGCAAGCTTGAGGCCTCAGACCTTGTCGCCCTCGTCGACTTGGCTGTTGGGTTGCTGCCGAAGAGCTCTAAGCTTAGGTATGCCCACGGACATTACCATATGCATCAATACAGGAGCATACGAACTCGCTCTCAACATTCGCTGGCATGACAATGTCTTCATCGGCGGCCGGGTCCAGCCTGGGGGCGGCACTTCACTGCCGAAATACCTTGCTGGTAGTTCTGTAGCATCAATGCGCACAAGCTCTTCACGAAAAGTTGTGAATCGCAGCAAAAGCACGACCAGCCATTCCAGCATGCAAACTGATTCCCGAATCCAGCTGACCCAATGTGTCAAAATCATGCTTGAACTGCTGTAACCAAGGATTTGTAGTACTACTCGTACTACTAGTAGTACGAGTACTACTAGTACAAGTGTGAGTGCAAGTTCTACGACTACAACTACAACAACTACTACTACTACTACTACCACGACTACTACTACTACTACTACTACTACTACTACTACTACTACTACTACTACTACTACTACTACTACTACTACTACTGCTACTACTAAGGGTCTCGGCTGGAGCAATGAGGTGCAGTTAGGAAGGTCTCACATCATGGCCTTGCGGTGCTTTTTCTGGTTGAACTTTGATCTGCTGCACCTGCCACTTTATACGGAGAACATTCACCAGCTGCGTCGGTCCCAAGTCCGACGGTCATCTTCTGATACAGATTTCTACATTCGACGGAGAGGATTGAAGATGATAGACCCGAGGGTTGAGTCCCTTTCCACCCAGGGCTCGGAAGCAGCGCCACGGGATGCTGCGAAATCCACTGGAGGGACAGCTTTAGTGTCTGAAGCACACACACGAGCTCGGAAAAGAGCATATCGCAGAGCGCGAAGGCGCGCAGAACAGCACGGAGGTACGCGCTACAGAGGACGATGGTGTACAGCTGCAGAACTGGGAACGGTGCATGATGGTCTGGACCAACCGCTTGAACAGGCACCTGGCCGTCCTAAAGGCCAGCCAGCGTGGATGGCACAGCCGAGGCTTAGGGTGCGCAGTTTTAATGCAGGTGGATACCTCTGCTACTGGCTGCAGCACACGTGCAAGGATGACATCATCATCCTGCAGGAGCTGCACTGGGGATGTGGCCGAGCAGACAGCTCCTGGGCAATCCCAGGTTGGAATTTCTACATCACCGCCGATCCGGAACAGCGATTCAGTGGGACAGGGGTTATCATATCCAGCAACTTGGCAACGTCAGCAGCCGTGACGTACTGTACATGGGTACCAGGCAGACTCTTGCAGGTCAGATGTTGCAGTACTAAAGTTACTCTTGACATTATTGCTGGCTATCAATGGACCAACCTGTCGGACACTAGCACCAAAGAAAAACGTAGCTACTTTTGGGGGCAACTGAGCCGTCTGCTGCATAGCATTCCCCAGCGGAACATGGTTGTTTTGGGAGCCGATCTCAATACTAGATGCGCTCCGATCCCTGGCCTTGTGGGGCGTGGGGTTCTGCGTAGCACGCAGGGGCGCGACCCAGAGCTCGAGGCGCTCGTTCTTGAACATAACCTTGTTTTGCTAAATACGTGGTGTAGTGCACGCGCAGCATGCAGTCACACCTTCGTGAATGGGGAGGACCGCAGTCAGATCGACTTTCTGGCGATGCGGCGTGCAAAGGCAGACGCCACAGCACGCCGAACCGTGCCGCATGTGTTTGACCTTGCCCCGTGGAGGCGGGGCCCGAAGCATCACGCGCTCATTGCTTCCATACCCTGGCGCGCAGGCTGGACTTTCCGGCGACGTAAAGTGGTGACGCTTAAATTCGACATTAGGGCCATGCGGCAGTCGCTTAAACAGCAGGATGCCCGTGCCGTGGCGCTACGAAGCGCAGTGCTTGCACTCCTTGCAGAGAGCAGCCCTGACGGCAGCATAGCCAGTCTCAACCAGGCCATATTGCGACAATGTCAACACCTGTACCCCACCTCTAAGAACCTCGCCTGCCAAGCCCGCCCTGGAGCCCAACCCGAGGTGATAGGAGCTGTACAAGCTGTTGTGCATGCGCACAACGAACTTAAACAGCAAGGTTCTGCAGTAGGTATCCGAGGTGCCATAAGTGCCTGGCGTAGGGCCGAAGTGTTTAAGCGTGCGAGCCGTCAACTCAGACAGGCCAGCAGAGCTGCCAGGCGTGCGTGGTTTGAAGCAAGGATCATGGAAGCTGAGGTTGCAGCGCAGAAGCATGACTTAGGGGGTGTTTATCGGGTTGTTAACATTCTCGCTCCCAAGCGCAAGAAAGACCCGGTACGAATTAGGAGCACACAAGGCGCCCTGTTGGCCCCCAAAGCCGAATTCGACGACATTTTCAGCTACTTTGAGCATGCGTTTGACTGCGACAAGGGCTTTGCCTTGCCACACAATGAGGTCGTGCACTTTACTGAGAATGAGCTCATACATGCTATTACGCAGCTCAAGAGTGGCAAGGCAGTGCCAGCAGAAAGTGTGCCGGCAGAGATCTGGCTCCTTTGCCCGACCGAGTTTGCCAGTTTTCTGAGCGCCAAGGTCAACCTCACCTCTGCCCAAAGTCGTGCCTATCCACCTGAAATTGCTACTTGTACCTTGGCCCTCCTCCCTAAAGCTGGACGTAGACCCGCCGACCTTAGACCCCTTGGTCTTCAGGACCCTAGCTCTAAGGTCACGGCCCATGCATTGCGTGCTCGACTGCAAGAACTCACCCTAGACTTCCTTAAGGCCCGCCCGCAATACGCATACTGCCCTGACAGAGCCATTGACCAAGCCATCGGCAGAGTTGCGCAGCATTGCCGTAGTGTGCGAGACAGAGTCCGATCCTCTGAGCCTACGGTGCACGCTCGGCGTGAAGGGCATAGTTCTAGTGGGTGCGTTGGGGGTGTTATGTTGGGGGTCGATCTTAGCCGAGCCTTCGATTGCCTCACCAGAGACGCCTTGCAGCGTGCACTTCACCGTGCTGGAGCCACAGAGTCGTTGGTGCAGGCCATATTGGTGCTACACGAACAGTGCCGCTACCGTGTGCAACACAAGGGCTATAGCCAAGACTTTTGTCTTAAGCGAGGCGTCAGGCAAGGTTGCACATGCACTCAGCCCCTTTCTGTTTGCCCTGTTCACGTGTTTGGTGTACGACATACTTGCAGAGCGCACCAATGAAGCCTGGGCAGCAACGGCGCTCACGCTTTTCGCTGACGATACACATCTCTCGTGGCACATAAACAGTTTGGCTGACCTTCAATTCTTTACGCACTGTGTGAGAGTCACTTTTCAAGTCTTTCAGGAGCTAGGAATGACAGTGAACCCCACTAAATCACAGCTGGTGGTCAGACTGCGGGGACATGCGGCAGCTAGGTGGCTCAGAGAGCATAAGTATCTAGGACCCAACGGACCCACCCTGGATGTAGGACTCCCTCACCAACCGTTGCGCATTCCCTTGGTGCCTCAAATGCTGTATCTAGGGGTCATTGTGTCGTATGGCAATTACGAAATGCAGACCTGTGTCCACCGATTGCAGGCTGCCACGGGCAATCGCCACCGCTTAGCTCGTATCCTTCAGCATAGGCAGCTCACTCTACAACAGAGAGTTCGCATTTATCTCGCTTGCATCAGAAGTTGTCTTTTATACGGGCAACATGCAATCGGGTGCACACATGCGGTTCTGCGTAGATTTGATCAGTTCGATGCTAGGGTACTACGTGCACTGGCCAGGACCCCTGCGCATATCTACAAAGAATCTACCAAGCAACTGCGTGCTAGGCTGTCTGTTGAAGCACCGAGCCGGGTCCTTGCCAAGACGTTGGAGCGGAGAGTTAGCAAACTTGCAGGTGCTGAGGGCTGTGCATGGCTTAGTAAACTGCAAGGTGAACTTACGCTCTTGCATAGTGCCTGTAACCACGCCGATTTTACAGCAGATGATGTTGCATTCAGTGCTGAGCCCTGCATCGGTGTTGCCTGCCCGGACTGCGGATTGTATTTCTCGAGCGTGCAGACCATGAGAACACACCAGGCCAAGAAGCATGGATATGTTGGGCAAAACGCTAGAAAACAATCGGGTGTGATTACTGCCGCGATGTACTCCAAAGGCTCGGTTGATGGCATGCCTCAGTGTGCTAGGTGTAATAAGAGGTTCACGCGTGTGGAGGCCCTTAAGAAGCACCTTAAATCAGGTTGTGTAGTACGGACAGGGGCAAATGACATGAAGGGGGACACCACCGCTAGGACGGAACAGGTCCCCGTTCGGCGGGCGGAGTCGCCTAGGTGCCGGACTCCGCAGGTGGCCCCCATCACATCAACCGAGCCAAATGGCCGTGAGTGCTCTCTGGTGCCGGCGCAGCCGACAACTGCATTTGCATTGTTGCAACAAGACCAGTTCTGTGCGAGCATCACTGAAAACTGGCGCCAGGCCGTTCGCCACACACAATTCAATAGCATACTGCGTGAGCACTGTGTCGTTTGTGGGCAGTGGGGCAATCGCTTGAAGCAGCACCTTCGACGCATGCATCCGGAGATCTGGGCCCTGAGAGTGCAGGCCGAGACTCAGTGTAGAAGCCTCGGGTTACTCGTTGCCAATCCCTGCCACTACTGCGGACAGCCGGCCAAGCAGGCGGGGCGTCACCTTGTTGCATGCCAGGCAACATTTCAGGCCTCACTTGCACATGTGTATCTGACACAAGGACAGCCCGACCATGAGCGCAATGCAGACAGAGAGCGAGGAGGCCTTGCAGACTCGCCGCGATCTGGAGGCAGTCTGGGGAGGGACCCAGACGTGGGCAGCGCAGCAGGAGAAGGAGAAGGAGAAGGAGCAAGAGAAAGCCGCCGAGGCCGGCACGGACAAGCGGGATGGCGATGCGGACCAGGACAGACCGCAGAAGTGGCGCAAGGGACCATCCACCAGTTCCTGGGAGGGATGGGACAATCGCGGAAAACGACCCTGGCAGGGTCAGGACAAACCCCAGAAGGAGGCGGCCGAGAGCGAGCAGACCCAGGAGCTCATCAAGTGCCTCGTCAAGATGACGGTGCGCCACGAACAGGAGCTCATGCGCATCCGGCCGGACGTGGGCTTCATCGGTTTCTGCGACACGACCGAAATGGGATGCATCCCACTCCTGAAGCAGGTCTCGGAAAACTGGGCAGACCTGCACAGCAAAGGCCAGGTGACCACCGGCCTGAAGACCATCCTCGCCCTCACGATATGATGAAGGACCTCAGGGAACGAGCCGAGAAAACCCTGCTAGACGAGGAACGCATGCAGCGATGCCTGAACGTGGGCTGGGCGCTCCAGAGCGAGTGTGCTTTGAATCCAGCCTGGGTCTACCACACCTGGGACGCCAAGGAGAAGAAGCAAGTGGTCTCAACAGACCCACCTCTGAAGCACGCCGAAGCCCTGAGGTTGATCGACGTTCTGATCGAGGACCTAGCAAAGGAAGGTGTGCTGACTCGATTCGGATCGACCAAACAGCAGATCCTGCAGGAGAAACCCACCACGGAGGTGATCCCAATGATGCTTCAGCTGAGCTTGAGAGGGCAGGCCAGCGACCTGTGCTACGACGCAATGAAGAAGCTGAGCGGGAATGCCATAGTCAAGCTGCAAGGGGTGCGATGGAGGCCGGAACGGGCTCACAAGCCGCCTCTAGCCATGGCTCTGGAGGAAGCCTACCTGGCAGTGCCATACTGCGACTGGTCTCGCCGAGATCACCAGGGCTCGTGGGCGAGTCGTCGGGCCTAGGTCGGCCCACGACTGGGAATGCGCAACGGGTCGCGTCATTCCCTGCCCGCCAGGACCTTACGCCTTTCCCGGCACGCCTTGTCAATAGGACTGGCCTCTGTTATGCCAACAGCACTCTCCAGGCGCTCCTGTGGCTTTCCGAAATCTCGGGCACTGATTTCGGGCAATTGCAGCAAGGCCGGCGCCTGCTACGCACTAATCAAGCCATTTGCCTACCTGACTGCTTAAGCCTACGACGACTGTTTGCTGGATGGATGCGTCTCCATCAACAGCACGATGCAGGAGAGTTTTTGGCTCACTGCCTGCACACAGCGCAGGCTGAGGCCTGGGAAGGTGGTTGGCAAGCGCGCCTTGAAAACCCTGACAATATCACTGACTCAGGCACGCTGCTGCAAGCTATTCCACTTCATCTGCCAGGCGCCAACCCCCAAGCCCTAGTAGACAAGTGGCATGGGCAATTCAGTCGACATGCTCTGACACATCACAGCGGCCTTGTCTTTCTGCAGTTGTGTAGATACACAGAGGGTGCCGATAAAGATAAAAGTGTGCTTCGCGTTCGGCCAGGAGACTCAATCGTCCTGCCCATTTTCACACAAGCAGTGGGCCTGACGGCACGCCATGAGACCTTTCAGGTTGCAGTCATAATCTACCACCTAGGAGAAACCTCAACCAGTGGCCACTACCTTACCTTACTGGGAGTGCGGCAATCAGACAGATGGGATTACTACGTCAGCGATGATAATAGGCCTCCCCGTAAAGCTAAGTCCCGGGACCTTCAATTGGTAGACCACAATGCTTACCTGATAGGCCTCATGCGGAGTCTGTAGCAACGTTTCGGGCCAGCAGGGAGGGCCCACAACAACAACACTCCCTGCAATTATGCAGCCGGACACGCCGAAGTGTGTTCAGAGCCGGCCATGAAAATCTGCGATGTGTTAGTCTTTTTCACTTGCAAGTGATACGCTTCTACACTGTGCTAGTTTCTCAGTCTCTTCCTCGCATGTGCACATGACGACCGATGCCGACCCACAGCCGATGCACTCAGGGGGGACGGGCGCAGGTACGCCCACTGCAGCGTGTAGGGAACGCTGCCTCCCTCTCACCTGATCCGAGTCTGGTGCCAAGAGGTGGGCCCATCACAACAAGAGTCACGGTAGTTTTCGAGTGTGCAGCAGTGCTCTTCCTGCAGAATGTGTCCCTCCGCAGCAGTCTTTCCGCCACAGCAGTGGTACAGGGAGCCACTGCTCAGTGCCTAGGTCGGCACTGCAAATTGCATACATGCCCCTTGCCCTGGAGCTTCCGGTGCATATGCAAGCTGTAGCGCTGGAAGAGATGGCACTCCTGAAGCTGCTGAAGGACATGCTGCATGACCAAACTCAACTGCCTGCCGATGTCACCCTGGCGACACGCAATGAACTGATCGAGATGGCCCAAAAACACATGCACCCTGAAGATCTGCCTTACTTCCTGCGGTGCGCGGACATGCAACCTACGTTTGAGGATCACGACGGCATCATTGATTTCCCCCTACCCGTGGGCTTGCAACCGTGCACGGTCGCAGAAGAATTGGCGGAGCAACATCTACAGGAGGGCTCAGGCTCTCTGTGGAATGCTGCACGTATGGTGGCCAGAACACTACAGTTCGAGAATGACCCCAGGGATATTGCAAATGGCTGCACCTTTCGTCTCGGGCTCTTCTGCAAGGGCGGCATAACAGGACTTGCTAAGTCCTCAACACATCATGTGGCCGCCAGTCGCCTGTTCAATCAGGTGGTTCGAGAGGTCGCTCCGGATCACACGTGGACCTCCCTCAGCATCAGCGTCGACAATGGTACGACACCACATGTCGACAGCAACAACACGTCGGAGACCAGTCTGCTAGTGGGACTTACTCACCACTCGGCCGGACATCTCTGGATCCAGGACAACTCCGGCGACACGTGGATGGAGGCCTCAGGAGTCAAGTATCTGGGTACCACTTATGCCACAGCGCGCCGAGCAGTCCTCTTCAACAGCAGGCTTTGTTTGCATGGTACCCTTCCATGGCAAGGCACTCGCTGTGTTTTGCTTGCCTACACGGTCGGCTCGCGTGCGGGCGTCCGTGATGATCATGCCCGCCACCTGGAAGAAGCTGGATATCAGCTACCATCAGGATGGGGCAAGCGAGGGCATGATGTGCATACGACAGTGCAAAGGCGCCTGGAACACTACTTCAACGATACTCCAAGCAGAGCTGATGCCGCTGAATGCTGGGAGATCTAATTGAGTAGTCGGGATTTTTCTTCGAGGGGTCTTGAGGCTGCATAGGTGTACTCGTCGCTGCCGAGGGATTCTCTGGAGTATAGCAGTGGCAGTGCCTAGGTTTCCTCTGCAAGGCTGCACATGGCAGCCATCAGAGAATAAAGGACCCAACGAGGTCACCGGGCCACCAGGCCGCTATGCCTCGTGGTGCACAGTGGCAGCGCGCCACTAAGTCCTTTAGCCAGCGTGTCAAACAAACTGAGCCGATTTGCCCAGCTGCCATGTCCGAGTTGGTATGTACAGCGCCTGTGCGAGTGCTTGCCTGATATGGTCATGCCTCCCACAGCGATGGATGGAGCAGCCGCAGCAGGTGGCCCACAGGTGGTCGCAGCTCGCAGAGGACGAATCTGCCAGGTACCGGGGTGCAATCGCGAATATCGGAGGGTGCGTCACAGACAGTGTTGCAGCCTCTGTACGGTTGGTGGACACACCGATCGCTGCGAAGCCGCCCACCGTGCGTATCAGCGACGAAGACAGCGAGCTCTACTCTGTGAACAGCGAGGAGAGCTTACAGTATGTGCAGTGGGAACCTGTAACCGGGTCGCGGGCCTTGGACATGTCATATGCTGCTGCCTTTGTGAAGATAGCAATGGGCGAGATCACACAAGGCATTGCTTCAACCGACAACACTTCCTTCAGGCCCGGGAACAGGAGGCTACTCGTGCGAGTGCAGCTAGTGTCGAGCAGAGCACTACGAGCACCATGGCCTCCGATCGGCAGCAGTCTACTGCAGTACCTGGAAGCAGCTCAGCTACTGGAGCAGTCGAGGTGACCACTCCAGTGGAGGTTGTGACCATAGCATCTGATACGGAATCAGAGGAGTCAGAGATCATCGGCAGCTCTAGTCAGGTTGCAAGCACACGCGTAGAGCTGGAAGAGATGGACTAGCCATCATTTTGCTGTAGCAGGGGCATCACATGATGCAGCCGTCACAGAACGGCCGGTGTGCTGGAAACACAGCATACTGCCTCCCTCGTCTGGCACTCGGATCTTGTGCGACGACCGCAATGCAATACTGCTACTACTACTCCTCCTTTTGCGCTGCGTGCACAACCGCTCACGAGCGACCTAGTGTAGGAAACCGGCGATACTTTCAGTATCGGCTTTTTGCAGGAGCGCGCGATGGCCCGAAAATGAAATGTGGGAATCACAGCTTCAGACTTCAATGATCCCACAGTTAAGCCAGTCAAACAAAACTGGAACACATGGCGATCCTCAACATATGCAGCTTCGCGCCGACAGCACGGAGCAAGCTGCATGTATCATGATCGGGCCGACAGCCCCAAGCATCATGAAACCGTTGCAGGAGCCACCTCAATTCTTGTGACTGTACGAATGAGGTAGCAAGCTGCGAGATACGTACACAAACATCCAATGGAAGAATCTTATGATAGTGAACCGGTATCGGGATGAGGCTCTGATTTCTGTATCAGCTTACGAGTGCAGAGCTTTCGGAGCGCAGGCTGAGCTGAAGAACGGCATGCGCCCAAACCAGCTAGCAGTGTCGAGATACTTTGTCACAGACGTCGCAACCACATCTCATGACCGCTTCTGCGATAGCTTTTGGGTGCATCGGGCAGGTTGGACCCGTCCTCAAAGCTTGAATTGCAAAGTGTATTCTAAATTCTTTTGCGCATGTAGCCGTTATACTCCGAGGTTTAGGGTTTAGAGTATACCTTGATGAACCCGGACTCACCCTTCTCTCAGCTGCAACCATCGCTCGTTTGAGATTCCAGCTGGACAGTACCAGACCATCAACCTCCTCCAGGGGCGGCTTTTGAGGTTTCGCCGGAGGAGTACCGCCGGCTTCGTGAACTGCTCGTCGAAGCTCCGGCATGCGCTCAGCCATGCTCAGCCAGTGCAATCTCGTCGCATCGTTTGATGAAGTAGGCACCGTCTGCTGCTTGGGCACGCGTGTCCACGGTGTCCAACGAACTGGCACCGATCCTACCAGCGGCCGATCCCACGGAGCGCCAGCCCGCCAGCGGAACAACCCGCGCTTTTGTCTGCTTGGCCAGTCCATCTGCCAATGGCTGTCGCACGCACGCATAATCAATCTGGCTCATTGCCTTGGGGTGAAAGTATGTGCCCGCGCGCCTTTTCGCCCCCCACGTGTTAAGCGCACAAAGACGATGCCGCAGGAAAATACTCATTACAAGCTCCCTGTCCTCCTTCTCTTTCTCGCCGAGGTCTTTCGTCAAGAGACCTGGGCTCACCAGCTTTGCCTCACTTCTCAGCGAGGCTTTGAAGTCGCCTCCCAACACTAGGTCACTATGTGTGAACGCGCCGGCAAGGAAGCAAGCGGGGAGTCCACCTCTTTCCAGAGCGTCCGTCGTCTTTTCATGACGGCATCCGGCTGACCTGCTTGATTCAGGTATGAATGCTGGTACAGGCTGATAATGTCAAGTTGTTGCGTGTCGATCTAGCATCGCACCTGCAGTAATCTCCCCGGGACATGTTCTTGCCAGCGAGTCGAGCTTGGATCAGTCATACGTTTTCTGATCCCGATGAGCACTCCGCCACTGCCCCTCTTCGATGTAGTCGAGTGGCACATGCACCACTCGTCCGTCGCCCAATCTGCCGAGAAATCCCAATGCGTTTCTTGTAATAAGAAAATTCCGATGTGCTGCTGTTCGGGTTGCTTCAACCATACACAGATCTCCGCGTACAAAATGTTCGAAAGTCCACCAGCATTCCAGCAAAGAAAGTGAATTCTAGGTTTTACGCTCTCCTTCTCCTCCGCTTCTGCCGGGAGGAGCGGCGGATGTGCACTCAAGCGTTTACCCCTGTACATCGTTTCACCGTGCATCTGTGCCCTCTTGACGGCACGCTTGAAAGAACGAGAGCAAGAGCCCCTGCACAGTCTGCGCTGTTCCTTGGTTACCTCCTGTGTTTGCCGTCGAAACGCCTTCGGGTCTTCCGGAGGGAGAAGACCGACCCTCACGCCAATGCTGAACTGTAGTCTGATTGCGATACCGTCTTTCAGCATCTCCGGACTTGGGACCGGACTGAGCAGGCATGGTTATAGGCGGCGAGGCTTCCATCTAAAAGACACACCAAGCAGGCTGTGGAGCGGCCAGAATCAGCAACAGGGCACAATACGACCTCCGAGTTGAATACTAGCAGCATCACGAGCCAGGCAGCGCAGCATGTATTCAGAGGACTCCCCAAAAAGAAAGCCAGGTTGTGGTTGGGGGCCCAGGGCCAGCTAGCGAGCGTACGTTAAGAAGGGCCCACAGGTTCACACCGCCACTCAGATTTGAACCGCTCATGGCGCTTACTCCTACTCCTCCTCCTCCTACTACTACTACTACTACGACGACTACGACTACGACCACGGCTACGACTACGACTACGACGACGACTACTACTACTGCTACTACTACTACTACTGCTACTACTGCTACTACTACTACTACTACTACTAGTACTAGTGCTAGTGCTAGTGCTAGTGCTAGTGATAGTACTAGTGCTAGTACTGGTACTAGTACTTCGACGACAACTACTACCACTAACATTGCGACGACGACGCCGACTACTGCTGCCACCGGTACACCAACAGCTACTACTAGTAGCAGCACGCATGCTGCTACTGCTACAGCCACTTGATGCTATTGCTGTTGCTGCTGCTAGCTACTGCTGCCCCGGCTTCAGCTACTGCTCTGCTTCAACTGGTTTAGCCACATTCACCACAACTGTTACAAGTAACACAATGGCTGCAACCACTACAACTACGACACCTTGTACACCAACAGCCAGGCAACGCCAACACTCATAACACTGGCACTGGTACTGCAAAAGGTACTGGCTACTGCTATGCCCGCGGCTGTGCCTACTGCTGTTGCTACTTCTACAGCTGCTGTCACTGCCACTGTTATGGCTGTTGCTGCTACTACGTCTACTGCTTTCGCTAGTTCAGCTTCGGCGATGTTACCGCAAGCACATGTCCATGCAGTCGCATATCGCTGGCCTGTAAGTGGCCTGTTTGACCAATCTTCAATCGTGAAGTGGTGTTCCATTGGTTTTCCTGACTACATGGATGCCAATGGGTGGAGTACATGCATGCCGGAAATCGATCCGTCGCACGTGCTAATTTGAGCTGAGCTCCAAAACCTCAGCGGGGCAAGGGGTTTGGATAAGGCTATGTAGCCCAGAGGAACATGGAGTGCATAGAGGTAAAAATCACGAAAGCAAAGTCGAGGCTTGGATTTCGGCATCGGATTGAGAGATTAGGGTTTTGTTGTTTGTTTCGCATGTTGACTTACAGTTGCTCTTCGTTCTTTTTGTGTTCCTCGGAGTTATGCTGCCGCCCTCTGCTGCCGCCATGCTCGAAATGCGACATGTCAACAGCAGCATGTAGACCAAGAAAGTTGAAACCGAAACCTCACAACCCACCCCTGCAGATCGCAAGAAGCTACATCGTCCCAATCCCTGACCTGAGCCCGAGAGTTGGGCTGCACATATGACCTCCGCACTTATATTAGAATGCATAACAAGGGCTATCTGTCTCCATCTATCTTTCGGTTTACCTGTTTGTTTATACAGTTTATACAGATATGAACACATGGATCGAAATGTGAATGCAAGTTTAAGCACAAAAGTAATCATGAATATAAATATGAATGCATATCTACATCAACCAACACATACAGAAGCAACTGAGCAACTAATTAAGTCAACAACTACATAAACAAGCAAATGAATATGTACAAATACGCACATACACACATACACACATACACACACACATACATACGTACGTACATGCATACATACATACATGCATAATCCCTTCTCCTTCTAATTAACACCCCCCTGAATAAGAAAAGCACATTGGGGCGAATCCTCCCGAAATCATCCGTGCACTTTAAACCTATTCTGATTTTGCAACCCGAAACCCCTAACCCCCTGTGTTAAAGGGCAACAGGCAGGCAAAAGAAAGGCTCACAAACACGCTGTGCCCACCCCACCCACTGAGCACCAGCACGGAGAAAGTTGGCCCCTGGTGGGTAGACACGCCTGCCCTAAGGGCCATAAGCATGTCAGTAATCACACCCCGTAAATTCCTACGCAACTATCCCTACCTTGTGACAATAGAGATACATACCCCGAATAACAACACTTTCCCAGATTTTATTGGGGGGCCCCCGTCTAATATTAGAGAGAAGGGAATACGTACATACATACATGCCTACATGCACGCACGCATGCATACATACGTACATACGTACATACATACGTAGGTACGTCCGTACATACATAATGTCTGTTCATTATGTACATATATGCAGGTGCAACACACTTATACTGCGCCGACCTTTTTAGCCAGCGCCTTCTCCAACACTGCGGGTACCACAGTGGTGTCTTTCCGCGTGGAGCTCCGCAGCTTCTGCGATGGCGGGTGGGTCCAAAGCGGAAGCAGCCCCAGACCGCGAGGGCTTCGGGATTGCCTCTCGAGGGCTCACCATAGAGTCATAGAGGTGATCTTGTTTCAGCTTGGGGTGTGGGCGTCAGCCACTGAAACTGCCGGGGTGCTTCAAGGCTACCGAGGTCAGGGTTGCAGATTTCCTACCGAGAGGAGGGTTTTAGGCTGGGCATCTTTTCTTGCCTACAGGGTATGGGGGCTTCAGCGTCTTTCGACTTTGGGGTCGCAGGTTTTCCAACGACACGTCTGCATGAGGCAGGCGGATGTAGGAGGCTTGGTCTTCCACGGGGCAATCTTCAGCGTGCGAGGCGTGCCTTTCAAAGCTTGTTGATAGACTCTGGAACTTGTTAAAGCAATATAGCAACGACAGGTAACAGATTTAGTATGTGAAACCCGGTGTAATCAGAGCAGCTTGAACCTCACCACGATCATCATCATCATCATCATCATCGTTCTTCTCCTCCTCATCGTCATCATCATCACCATCATCACAACCATCACCATCATCACCATCATCACCATCACCACCATCATCACCATCATCACCATCATCACCATCATCACCATCATCACCATCATCACCATCACCACCATCACCACCATCATCACCAGCATCACCAGCATCACCAGCATCACCAGCATCACCAGCATCACCAGCATCACCAGCATTACCATTGTCACGATCACCATCATCATCACCATCATCACCATCATCACCACCATATCCACCGTCATCATCATCGTCATCATAATCATCGTCGTCATCATCGTCATCATCACCGTCTTCATCATGTAATCTCCCGGTTAAGCAGCTTTGTTGCAAGGCCCGAATTGGCAAGCCTGCATAGAGCTGACCGGACCCGAAGATGTAGCTGAGGGTCATGGTAGGTTAAACGGCTGAGGTATGTAAGCCATATCAACCTAATCTGTTCATACCTGGGGAGCTGCTTCTTGAATCCCTGTGTGTGAACCCAAACCCAAATCCCCAAACCTCAAAACGAAAGCCTCCACCTCAACTCTTACTGCCCTGACTTCCAGAGCCAAGCAGAACGACCAGGCCGACAACCGCGCCAGCCGTGTCGCGGGAGTGGTTGCATCGGACAAAGGCTGGAGCATAGGGGCATGTGGTATGAAGTTGATGATCGTTGACCGAAGCAGCAGAGAGCGTAAATCCTCACGCACTTAACCAGAAACCCGACACCTTAAATCCTAAACGCTCTTCTCCTCACTGGAGGGGTTTGTCTGAGAGGCTTGTGTCTTTCCGACCGTTCGTCGAGTTTGGCCCCCTCAAAACTCACAACTCTAGGCATGACACAGGACCACCTGATTCCACCCTGAAATCGATTGACAGCCTCCAAGCCGAAACCCATCCGAAACCTTCGGTTTTGCTAGCGGCTCAGGAGGCGAAGCGTCGCAGCAGTAAGGCGGTAACTGTCCAAACACCGCCCACGGCGTGAGCCTCTGAAACTCAGAACCTCAGGCATGTGGGAAGGGCTCCTCACCGAGGTGGCTGGGCTCTCGGCTTTCCTTCCGGAGCGGCTTTGGGCTGTGGTCTTGTGTTTAGGTTGTTTGGTTGAACTGACCCCGCGTTCAGTTTCATTCATGATTCTCAGGAATCCTCAGTCCTGACCACCAACAAGCAAATCTTTCACCCGAAACGCTTCAAACGCCCGAAGCTTTCGTCTTTCAGCCATGGGACCCGGCTCAGCCCTCGATCCCCGAAGGGAAGCATTCTCATACTGCGGGGTGGCGCCATACTACTGCCAGAACTTCCGCATACACTAGAGTCGCTAGAGCAAAGTTATAAAGGATGAGCGCGACCATGTGCGAACCTCGAAGGACATGTGTTGATCGAGGCGACAGCAGCCAAGGCTCCAGATGCGAAGCTTCTTTGCCTCGGGCGTGCGGGCCTCTGGCTTTCTCGAGATCCCAGGTGGTTAGGCATCGGTCCATAAAAGGTTGTAAAATGTTGTAGCTCTCCCTTCAGACACCTAGGAGTCGGAGTGTCGTCGTCATCCAGCGCTCGCTCTGAACCGATCCCAACCTCGTTTTTTCATTACAAGCTCTCAGACATGAGAGGCCCGGGAATCGGCAAACGTACGCTGCTGCAGGCATACGCAGGGGCCGGTGTGCCAAGGATTCACGGATCTGAACCCTGGACCGTAATTTCAAGAACCGGTGCCGGGTTTGGACCGTAAGCTGGGCCTTCAGTGTTTCGCTGTTCCTGTGTTTTTAAGAAGCATCTCCTACTCTTGCGGCCTTGAGGTTGTTGGTTTGGTTGGCCCAGCTTAGGAGTGCTGGAGATGTTGTTGAGGCAGGATCCACACAGGGCATGTAGCTAGTCGCAGAGACACGAAACCACAGAGTGTATGCATCAAATCATGTGCTCATGCACTCCAGAGCATGGTTGTCGGATCAGCCTTGTGTTGTTGGACAACTTTTATCAGCCCTCAAGAGTACTGAAAATATGGTTTCTACTGACCAGATGCGTCATGGTACGCTTCGTAATGGTACAAAGGGAACGGTTCAGGGGTACATAGGGGACACTTCCGGGGTACATAGGGGACGCTTCGAGAGTACATAGGGGACGCTTCGAGGGTACATAGGGGACGCTTCGAGGCTACCTGTACCATCGTACCGTGCCCTATGTACCATCGTACCGTACCCTATGTACAATCAATCGTACCGTACCATCGTACCGTACCCCATTTAGCCTGACATGGACACCATTTAGCATAACACATGATGGTACACAGGGTACGGTACAGAATACGGTACAGTGGTACACGCATCATGCTAAATGTGTACATGTCATGTATCATTGTACCGCACCTGTTGTACCGTACCATGCGTACCTCTCGCACCGTACCATGCGCACCCCTTGTATCGTACCATGCGTACCCCTTGTACCGAACCATGCGTGCCGCTTGTACCGTACCATGCGCGCCTCATGTACCGTACCATTGTCCTGGGCCCTGGCATATGCAATAGAGCATTACTCTCGAAGTTGGATAAGACAACCCATTGAAGCGAGCTGTTTGTGAAGCTCCTCGGTCGATGCTTGTTGTGGTTGTGGCGCCAACGCCGCTGCACACCCACGCCAGTTTGAGCTTTTCGTGGTCCCAGTCGTTGCGAAGTGGCCCCAGCCTTTAATCAGTCAGGCTCTGCATCAGCATGCCTGCCCTCTGGCAGTGCAGACGGAGGCTTCGGCCACGCAGGAGGGTGGCCACAGCCGCGCTGTAGGCGCCGGATGGTAGGAGGTCTTCGTATAGAAGTTGCAGAATTTCGAGCTGGGTGTCTTGATTTAGGCTTGGTTTGGATTTAGGTGGCTGGGATTCGTGGAGAGATGTTTGTGGTTGTTCATCCATTCCACGAAAACGTCTGCACCATTTGCTTCCAGGGAAATGTTTCGAAATGTTTCGGAGTGATCGCATTGAGTTCATGTCGCAGACGAATGCAGACGAGTCGTTTGCCAAAACCCTAAAACCCAAGCCTTCCAACGCCCGCTCATCTGATAAAAGATCCTGTCAGCTGCCCAACATGGTCAAACCCAAACTGTAAGTCCCAGGTCGCAGGCCTGATCGCCAAAAGCCTACAGCCCAAGGCCCTGCAACCCTAAGCTCTTACCTAGCCTGAGCCTTTGGCAGAAGGAAGTCTCAAGCGCTAAACTCGAAAGTGTGTAGCTCTAGCACAGGTTTGTTCGGGTTGCTTGGCAAAGCAACTCAACAGTTCGACCCGGGATATGTGACGCATTTCATCATAACTTGCTTGGAATTCTAGAGTCGTAGAGGGGCGCGTGAGTTATCATCCAGGCCCTTAGATTTTGTTGACCTACACTTTGCCTCACAGCCTAATTCCTGAACTGCACAACTTTAATTTGAAAAGCCAATGCCTATGCCCGAAAAACCGAAGCCTCAGTCATGGAGGGGCTAAGCTGCAAACACCTTAGACCAAAGAAAGTCACCTTTAGGTTTGGATTTCGCACACTTTGGCGTGCCAGCCTCAATTGCCCGGAATGTTGAGCATGTTATTAGATTGTGGAGCTAGTTGTGAGGCTTGTACAGAAGCTTCTGGTATGGCTAACATGCGCTTTTGCAGGTTTGTGTGTTGCAGGGTTTATTAGTGTTTGCATGTATGTACAAATGTACGTAGGCAGCCGTATACAATTCATGCGAGATCAAACCCTCTTTTCGGATTTCGGTTTGCACGGCAAAGGGCTTAGTGGCTTTAGGTTTAGGGCTTTGAGTTTCCTGGATGTGGGGTTGGCATCCCCTAGGGGCTGCGACTCCCAGAGCATCCGTGAAAAGTGCCCGAGGTTTGGGTTCAACGGTCATAATACAGCATTCAAGGTTTCTATAAGCTTAGATTTCACGACACAACTGATCGACCCTCAAGTCGTGAGTCCTCTCCCCGCGAGCCCGCAAGACCGCAAACCGAGAGAGAGAGAGAGAGAGAGAGAGAGAGAGAGAGCACCCTCATTCCCGACAACATGTCGGGTGGGCTCTATGCCAGGCGGCTTTGATCGGCCCCCATGCCTGCGAGAGAAACAGAGAGAGGGAGCGGGACATCAGCTTAACGATTCTCTGTGGAACTCGACAGAATGCAAAGAGCCCCACAGCACGGCCCAGGAAGTGACGAGGCAATGTAATTGCAGCAGCCTGCAGCAGATGCAGCAGTCTACAGATCCTCTGCCCAGGTTTCAGGCTATAGACAAGAGGGCATCGGTGCCCGATCTGCTATTTCGCTAAATCTAGATCTATGCTGCAGCATCGGCTCCTGGGCCGTCCCGTCCGGTACCGAACCCTACCAGTGGAGCATTCACATTCTATGAAAGATGGAGCCTCTCGCCTCAGCCATAAACTAAGCAAGTATGTTTTAGAATCGCAACCGCCGGATGGAGGACTCCAATCAAAGCGGCAATACTCGCAGAAGCAGCGGCAGCAGCAGGAAGAGTGCTGGGTGGCGCGAAAGATGCCCAGCATCGTCCCCTCACCACACACCGTACAGTTTACAACGCAAACACCGGCAACATGGCCGCCATCTTCGACGAAGCGCGGCGATGCTCTTTCGCCGCAACCGCAGGGGGAAACCCGCCCTCAAAGCACCCTTCATTCAGGAAGCCCGTGCCAAAAGATCTCAAACCCATTAACCCCCCCAAAGCCCGAACGCCTTTAACCGGCGTGGGTGCAGCATCGGAGCGGCTTTCTTGGTTCTTGTTTTCACATTGACATGTATGAGAGTTCCCGCAACTTAGGATTTCATGTTATTGAGCATTTTGGATTTTGGTGTGCGATTCTTTCAGGAGTGCTGCCGTTACAAGTCGAAACATTGCTATTCATACAGGTTCTGTCAGTGGCAACGTGATGGGAACTTCTTCCGTACGTTCAGAGACTGCAAAGCTCGCGAAAATCCAGGAGGTCGATGGCACGCCCAAGCCCAGCAGAGCTCGGCGAAGTTTTCACTTCCACCCCTTCGTCAAGAATTTTTCAACGGTATATCATACGCGTTTGGGCTGGAAGTCTTCGGGTGGTTGTAGGGAGCCCAAACCCCAACAGGTCAACCCTCCTCTGAGCTCGACGGCCGAAGCTGCGCTGCCCAGGGACTCTTATCAGCTGTCTGGGTGCCTACTTCCTTTCCATGGCCATGATCTATCAGACGCTCGGAATGGTTTGGGGTCTGGGGTGGCCGATGTTTGTTTGACGTGAGACCCACAACCAGAGATCAAGGAGCATGCAAGGGGTAAACCCTGAGCACAGGTCGCCTTCTGGGAGGGAAGGGAATGTCTGAACAGGACGGTGGCCACTGGAGGTTGAGTTTGGCGCGTCCGAACCTCCAAAACTCGTGGATGGAAGACTTCTGAATCCTGCAAAAAAGCTTCTACATGGCTGCCGAGGATGAGCCCCTTCTTCCAAATCTATGCCAAGGCCCTGTCGACTTGGGCTCACGGCTCAGGTTCGGGACAAGGCTTTCGGGCTTTGCGTTCAGGGTTTCGCCTTCAGGGCATCTGGTTCGAGTTTTTGGGGAGAGCCATGGACTAAAAACGCCCCAGGCGCTTCTTGTAGCGTTTCCCGTCCTCGAGCTCTATAGGGTTTGGTGCTGCCATTTGTTGATTGGGCCTCATGTTCAAGGCCGGTTTATGCCTGGAAGTTAGGCGTTTGGGGAGTGCTTTTGGACGGGACAGCTGCCACTGCGCTCTTTTTTGGTACGTCTTTGATTCGATATATCGTACCGCCGATTCGAGCTTGAGATGTTCGGTGTCGGCATCATGTTCCCCATAACTCTAGTTTTCGGCGTCTACTCAGTTTTCGCTTTTATGCGTCACTTCAAACCTAGCCGCTCATGCCGGGTATGTTTGTTGCACGGGCCGGAGATTACGAGCAGCTTTCTGCCGGGCCTGATGCGAAGGGCTTTGCATCTTTTTTGGACAGACTTGCCAGGAAGCCGATGGTTAGCCGGCTAGCATCATTGCAGATAGCCAGGGTCTTACGACCACAACGCGCTGTGATGGGTCACAGCAGGATTAGTTTCGTAACCCTGGGACCTTGAAGTGTTACTTCTGACTTGCTCTTAAGCAACTTATAAGTGCTTGGACCTGGTATGATAAGCGCTCTGAAATCGAACCCGAAACCTTTAAAGCCCAGAAGAAAAGGCCGTCCAACCTCAACCCTGGACACAGTAACACTGATCAAGCACACGATCACATTTAATTATAGCAGGAATTGACATATTGCATTCCTGCAGCAGAGGCAATAAGAATGCTCACAGTACTACCCAGTGGGAGCAACAATGCTGTTCAGACCCTCAAGCCTTTGCCGCATGAAGGAAACCTGTGGGGCCAGTGAAGCGACGGTCGGGCTCATCTTCGCTGTAATGCCGTCAGCGTGCTTCCTAGGCTCGGAACACATCAGTTTTCTTTTTGCAGTTTAGGAGCTGGGGTTGCCGTTTTGGACCGGCGGGATCTTTGAGTCCCAGATGATCTTTACGACGGCGAGGGGAGACCGTGCTCTATCATTATCGCACGAAGCTGTTTCGATGCTGCGAGGCGTTTAACATGCAGGCGCTAGATTCTGTAAATGTCACATTCCTGTATGTTCGCCTTACGTTGTTCTTGCCCTCACTCCATTTCCTGCGGAAGTGAACGCTGATGAAATTGCAAGCTATAAGCACGCACCCGAGGTCGGAGCCACGCCTTGAGCTCTACATGGGTCTCACTATAGCGATTGCCGCAGTTGTTGTTGCTGCCACAACAGCAACCGATAGTAATGCTCCTGAATGCTCCTGCTGTTGCTGCTGCTTGTGCCACGCTGTTGCTACTCTGTTACCAGTGCCGCAAGTACTACAAGCACAGCTACTTCGACCCACGACGACAACGACGACGACTACAACTGCTGCCAGTCCTGATGCTGCAGCTGGTGCTGCTGCTACTTTCTCTGCTTCAACTGCTATTACTGCAGCTGCTGCTGCTGCTGCTGCTGCTGCTGGTGCTGCTGCTACTTTCTCTGCTTCAACTGCTATTACTGCAGCTGTTGCTGCTGCTGCTGCTTCTGCTGCCGTGACTGCTGCTGCTGCCGTGACTGCTGCTGCTGCCGTGACTGCTGCTGCTGCTGCTGCTGCGATTGCGAGTAGTAGTGGTAGTCGTCGTAGTCGTAGTTAGCAGTAATTGTCGTAATAGTAGTAGCAGCAGTAGTCGTCGTCGTCGTCTCCTGCTGCTGCTGTTGCTGCCATTGCTACGGTTCATCCTGGCCTGGATCGGACCAGCATTGTGTGGATCATTGTTGAGAGAGTTCAAGGTCGGTAGGGCAAGGTTTCGTGATGGATGGATGAAGAATGGTAGGCATTCGATCCCCTGCGAGGCAACTTTGGAATGGACAGGATGATCGCAAGGCCATTTTGGCACTTTGTAAGTATCTGCCCGGGTTATTGTCTAACACTTCTTCCAGGATCACAGGCACTGGTCACTACCACCTCAAAACAGCTTGCAAGGCCCCATGTCGTAATCCGCTCAGCTGGCCAATTCCAGTCAAAAGTGCCCAATACGAAGCGCAACAAAGCTTCACCAGGATCATACAAAATGATGGAATAAGCTTTGGGTCTCGGATGCCGATTCGGAGTCTTCGGAGATGCCGGGTTTTGATTTTTGGGGTTGCGACTCTCCCTCCAGCCATCTTCAATGTCATTAGCCTTTTCGCTGCCACTTCAGCTTAGCTGAGTGAGTGTGGATACCAATGAACAAGGCTGAAAAGAGAAGCTGGAAATCGGTTCAATCTGCAGCCCTGCAACACAAACTCCGAAGACGATGCACACGAAACACCCCACCCATCATCTTAACCCCCGAAGCCTACGCTGAGCTTTCCTGTCGGAAGGCTTGGTGTGGAGACCACCCTGAACTTGGGCTTGGCGTTCCCCAGCTCGAAGAGCCGAGAAACTCTTCATAGCTGTGCTTGGAAGATCCTCTCCGGGTGACGGCGTGACGTGCCTCCTGGGCCTAGGCAGGCCAAGAAAAGGTACAGACACAATGGGCTCAAGAAGAAACCCTACTGCCGGACAAAGTGTTGTTCAGCGCCAATCGGTGCTCGCTCGATCCTCAACCCTCGATGCTTAGCGCAGCCGGCACTACACTCCAAACGCGAAGCGGTAAAGCCCGTCCGCCGAACAACATCACAACAGAGGCTCTTGGCATTCAGCTCCCTGGGTTTCGGCTTGGCGCGCACGGTCCAAGGCCAAGCACCGCTTTGGCAGCTTACGGCTTGTATCCGTTTGGAGTTCAGCTGCCGGGTTTCGACTTGAAGGGTTTGGGCATTGGTTCTGGGCTTGGGTTCAGCTTTCACTTTCCGTTTTGGGCTTCCTGCTGTTGCGGTGTTCTTTTGTTCCATTCTGGCATAAACGATGACACGGACGCGAGTCGGCACACGTCACATGTGACCTTCTTGCCGCTGGCACCTGCCAGTTAAACCTAGACCGGGCACTCCAAACGTCGAAGCGTCCAACAATCC